GACCCCTTTTTTTTCCGTCCCGGTTGCCCTGTTCCGTCTCCCAAGGCCCCTTTCCCCTCTCCTGTCCCTTCGACCCCGGACCCCGAGTGTCAGCCCCCTCCGCTTCCGGCCCCCAAGCCCCCCACTCCTTGAGATATTTTCTTCACCCCCCATGTCCCCGGCCCGTTCGCGGGGAGGCCCGGTTCCTAGAGGTCGGCTACGTGGACGACCTGCCTTTCGAGGGGTTCGACAGCGACTCCGAGAGTCAAGAGGGCGGAGCCGCGGGCGCCGTGGATGGAGCAGGTGGAGCCGGGCTATTGGGACATGAGCACCCAGAACGCCAAGGGCTTAGCACAGATTTTCCGAGTGAAGCCTGCACAACCTGCGCGGCTACTACAACCAGAGCCGGGACGGTGAAGCCACGGGGCCCGGGCCAAGTCACCACCCCCATCCCCACAGACGGGCGAGGGTCGCCCCCAGAGTGTCCGAGTGCGAATTTCACCCCCCCCCCCCCCCCCGCCCCATACACACCCGGGATGAGCCCGCAAGACTTGAACCCGGTTTTACTTTCAGTTTCTGTTTAATCCCCGCGGGCGGGGGCGGGACTAAGTGGACGACACTGACCTCGGGGCGGGTCAGGGTCTCACACGCTCCAGTTCATGTGGGGCTGTGACATGGGAGCGGACGGCCGCCTCCTCCGCGGGTATGACCAGTCCGCCTACGACGGCACCGACTACCTTGCCCTGAACGAGGATCTGCGCTCCTGGACCGCGACCAGCACCGCAGCTCAGATCACACGGCGCAAGTGGGAGGAGGCCGGTGAGGCTGAGCGAGTCAGGAACCAACTGGAGGGCAGGTGCCTGGAGTGGCTGCGCAGATACCTGGCGATGGGGAAGGAGGTGCTGCAGCGCGCAGGTACCAGGAGCCTGGGGCCTCCCCCCTCTCCCCTGGGGCTGGGGATCAACAAGGAGACAGGACACAGGGTCAGTGTCAGACCCCCCTCCTGTGGGCCAGGAGACTGAGTCCGCCTGGCTTTTCGGATCCAGTGACGCCCTCCCTTCTCTCAGGGACACCTAGGGGTGCAGTCTCTCAGGGACAATTAGAGGGGAGACCAAGCCTGAAGGAACTGAGCAGCGGTTCCCATTGGCCCTGCAGTGGCTCTGGGACCCATGGGGGACTTGCTCTCTCAGGCCCTGCTCCCTGCCCCTCACCCAGTGTATCTGAGGTCTGACACCAACTTTTCTGAGTCCTTTGGCCTCCACCCAGGTCAGGACCAGAAATCCCTTTCTCCCCCTGAGACCTGCCTCCTGCCCTGGGCTGTGTCAGTGACTAGAACTTTCTAAGGAGGAGAGGTCATCCCCAGATGCTCTGTCCAGGCTGGTGGTGCTTGTGTGCTCCCTCTCCCACCCCAGGTGCCCTGTCCAC